TAATTCCTGAGTCTCCTTAGTTCTTTCCTTAGTTTTTCTGGTCTGACCAGGATTTAGACAAAATCCTTTAACAAGAACCCAGATGGTGGAGACAGGGTATTGTTTTTAAAAGTATTGTTGTTTTTTCTTTCCCGAACATCTCCTGGATAAACTTCATTGTTCCAACCCTGCTGGAACAACAATAAAACTCCTAGCTGGCTAAAGCCAGCAGGCTCTAGCCCTGGAATCTAATCCAGCTGGTACAACCGGTGATAGAAAATAATCCAGGGGTGGCTCCACTTCTGCATCACCTCATGATAAATATTCCTCACACCTTCACATCTCAAAATTAATCCACAGTACTCTCAACCTACAAATCTAATAGCAGGATTAATTTCCAGAATGGTTATACAGGTTTATAGCCAAAATCCCACCATCGAGGAAAATTAATCCAAAAAAAATAATCCGAGACTCAGTAGTCACCCGGGTTAATTTCCCTAAGGCAGGGAACATTCAATAAGTAATAGGGTACCCCACATGAAATCTGTTGCCCCTCTGTCCCGTCCCATCCACACGAACCGTTGTCTGCTTCTATGAGAGGACAGACTTAGGCTTAGGTCTTTGTGATGTTGCATGACAATCCTAACTGGTTGGTAAGTCCTCTGCGGTTAAGGGGTGGGCTTTTTGCAACAGAACTCAGCTGAGATGCCGAACAACTGAGGCGTTCACAGTAATCCATGATAAGCACCATCAAACTTCACAAGTTGGCAAATAAAGGCTCGGCTCCAGCAACATAAATGGCGCGTCTACAAACAATGCTGAAATGCTCTCGCGTCCAACGTTCTATGTGTCTCTGTTCAAAAGGGCACGGGGCACCAGCTGACCAGTATCTTATTGTTGGATATTGGGGTTCCTACTGTTACTCTTTCGTCAGTCCGGGCAGCTGATTTATCAAGGCTTTGGCCTTACTACTAGGAGCAAGGACGCTACTAGGGGCTCCTGGCCTTACTATTAGGAGCAAGGACGCTACTACTAGGCGCTAGGAGCAAGGACGCTACTAGGGGCTCGGGGCCTTGCTACGTACTAGGAGCAAGGACGCTACTAAAGGCTCCTGGCCTTACTACTAGGAGCAAGAACGCTACTAGGGGCTCCTGGCCTTACTACCAGGAGCAAGGACGCTTGTAGGGGCTCCTGGCCTTACTACTAGGAACAAGGACAATACTAGGGGCTATTTGCTACTAGGGAATGAATTCTGAAATTCAATTGACCTTCCCAAAAGCCATTGTTCTGCGCCTTTGGTTGGGCCATCGCTGAGACAGGGTCACTAAGCTTTCGAATGGTCTCTTCATCTTGCTCCTCAAAGTACAGCCACAACGATGACATGTTGAAGCAAGCCTAGATCATGCGGTGGTAAACAATAGTCAATTATTGAATGATGTATATATATATAAATGTAACTGTAAATGTATTCTTGTGCCAACACATGTTGAAACATCAGGGACATTTAGGGACTGCTCAGGCTGCGAAGACCTTGGGGAAAGCTTGGGCTGAGGCTGAGAGAGGCTGAAAGGCCCCCTGTGTCGAAGTTTTTGAGTCAAACACATTCAATCTAGAAGCTAGTAGAAACAAGGTCATCGCAACTAGTAACAAGGGCATTACTACTAGTACCAAGAAGCTACTAGTAGCTATACCAATTGCTCTGCAAGAGTTGGAAGACTCATGGGCTCCTCCACCGGTTCTTGAAGCTCAGGCTCGGTGACCACAGAGCTGTGAATCGGCAAGTTTGCCTGGTGAAACCCGAATCTATTTTAGGTGAATCCTGTGAATCCGAAGGCATGAAGAGTCAGTTCCGAAGTCAGCCTGTGAGCCTGTAAGCTGTTTCAAAATGTTCCCAAAGGTCATGAACCTGAATGACAATCCTATTGGGGAACTCTTTTGGGCAGTCCCCAGCCAAAAGATCTTGCAGGTGTACGTTGACGGAATAATATGCTGTAGCCCACTACCAGCTACCCAAACTGATACACGCCGTTGAATGCTGTTGAAACGTCCAAAATTACAGTCAACAAAGCGAAACAAAAACAGCATGCACAATGGCAAGAGCAGGCATGTTGCTATTTGACCTAACATCATCGCGGCTGTGGCTTCTGATAGTTTCTGTCGGTCTCTAAAGGATGCTCGCTACGTAAACATCGATGTTCTATGGACCTATAGTAGTTTTGCTTTGTGGGCTTGTTTGTGCAAATACTCAACCTGCCCTTCTACCAAAAGCCAAGTGGTTTGAGGTTTGGTGGGTTTGGTGGTTTAAGTTTCAATACACAATTTGTGTTTTTCGTCATTTGAAAAGAAATGAGTCTGAGAACTGTGTCCCATCCAATGTGCTTCTCCTGTCCAGTTGTGGCCTTGTCAGCACTTGTTTCTCCCTCCGCGTGATTGCAGCAACACCTGAGGTCTCAAAGAGGGACTTGGCTGCGGCTGCATATCCCTTTTTATGCACAAACTGTCGGGTTCACCCATATTACCCATGTTCAAAGCATCTGTTCATGCCATGATCTACATACAGTAAATTGAAGACTCGTGACAAGGGTTTTACAAAGCTTTACAAAGACTCATGATTGCAGAGTTTTACAAAGTCAATGGCGGCTCAATTCAAAAGCTCCGCAGCCACGCCAAACTCTTCAACTCCAAAACTCTGCAGTATGCTAGAGCCACCATCCAAAGCAGGTCGCTGCCAAGCGGCCACATCATCTAAAGCCACAAGCTCAAGCAGGGCGTAATCAACTTTATTGGCTGCGGAGCCGTTCGTTCATCGGAATTAATGCAATGCCGACCCAAATGACCTCTCAAGACAGACCTAATTACCCAAGCGATCAACGACACAAGTCTGATCATCGGGTGGCTTCAAAGAATAGAAGCAAGCTGCCTCTACTTCTGCCCACACTATCTTTAAGCGATTATCCGCTGCCCTACGATTGGTCGTCTATGTTTTTTCCACACAGAACCCGGGGATGTCCCAATGAACCTACCAACAACCACAAATGATTGATTAGAAAACAGCTACTCTGCTCCTCACGCTCTTTTTTCCAACACGTGTTCTTTCAGCAGCTCGACAGCTTGACCCAAATGATGCAATCGTGTCTCATTCTTGTGAGCCAGGAGGATGGCTTCCTGAGAGCAAGAAGGCCTCTAGTAGGCCGTCGCGAATGCATCCCTCATCATCCCTCTACCAACCTAGCTGCTAGCCCCAAGCTGCTCTGTACAGGTTAATGACCTCCAACAATATCAATTAGGAATAGTCGCAGCATCTGTCCATGACCTGGTTGACGTTTTAAGACTCCCACATTTTAAGATGCCCATCCCACGGCGTATGGCCACCTCTTAGCCACCTCTTGCACCCTCCCGCCAAGCGTCCAGGCCACTCCCAAAGAGAACCTCACTGGCCGAATGCCCAGCCCCTTGCTCCTTGGGCAACCGATGATCTACCACCTGCAGGAATGGCAACAAAAAAGAACAAGAAGATAAAACACATAGAAAAATATATAGGAGATGAGCACTTATGGTACAAGACCCCTGTTGAATGCTCTAAGGGTTGGGTTGGGCAAACCGTTTGGGCATCAACCACATTACATTTGTTCAGTAAAACCAGTAAAACGGTAGGAAAAGGGTACTAGTAGGACTCGAGAACACACCCTTCACGTGTACTAGCGTGTACTAGAGGCTGGGTCCTTCTGACTTTTGTGCTGTTTGGTGTGGTTGACTGTCTGGAGTCTCTGCAGTCGCTTGCTAGACAAACGGTCCTTTCTCCAATGAACTAACTCTGTGGATTGACGTTGAGGGCACTACTCAATGTCAGGTGGTCATTGAAACTTTTGCTTCCTGCTTTCAGGCTGGCTAAGCCTTTGGATTTTGTGGTCGGTGCTGTGGCATTTGGGTAGTACTTTGTGTAGCTTTGTGCGTCGTAGAACAGCTAGCCAGGCAATGATGTGACACTTCTGCAAAACCAAGTTGCATTGCAGGTGCCCAACCCACATATGCTCAACATAGGGTTGAATACCCACCCACACCTTGGGACATGTCATAATCTTGTATCTAATTCTGTCGTTAAATCAAACTAAATCGTTCAGTCAGTTCCTGTCTTGTTCCGCATGCAAAAAGCCGTCATATCATATCCATTACATCGCAATCCTTTTAAAACCTGTGGAGCAGGATGGGTAAATGCACTGTCGAAAAACACACCGATGGATCACCCCAATGCGCAGTCGCCTCGTCCCTCTGGAAGTTGTACGTCCGGATCTTCTCGGAGCGATCGCCGCTCCCCTTCTGCTGCTGCCGCTCCGAGCGCTCGAAGCTGCGCTGGGCTGAGAGCTGTTGATCTAAGAGCTTGGTCCGGAGAAGCTCCAGAGCTCCTCACGAACCAGGCAGCCAACAAGACATGCAAGAAACGCCTCAACAAAAGGCATCATATGGCTGACATGACTACCAAAGGAACTCGGTAGATCTTCATGGACAGTTTCAAGGGATTTCCGTGGTCATGTTGCTATTTGAGTCAGGAGCGTAGCTTCTATCTTCCATTATCTCCCTTGAGACTCTTCCTCATCTGGTTCATCATTGTCCGAGGCTCTGGTTTTGTTCTCGAACTGCGACTGGGAAGTTGTACATAGCACTGAAAGTCCGCTGGGAATGTGTGTTGCCCTCACGGCCTGGTGTGCTGCATTAACACTCTGGCCACCAGGGCCTGAAGACTTCTTGCTAATTTCCACTCGCACGTCTCCAGGTGCCTTAGCTCCGTTGAATCCACAGCTCTGCTGGCTTAGTGCTTGGCCAAAAAACACCCACACAGAATGACAGCAAGGTCCCTGTCCACCAAAACGCACTATACTTAGCATGGTATCAACATTATTTACATCATGCAGTAGTTGGATAGCAGTGACGGTCCTCACAAGTCTATGAAACATCATGACATACATACAATTAACTTGACACCTGAACGTACCTCACCTAAGAGTAACCACAAGAATCATTGTGGACCTCCGTCTTTACTATGTACATGTGCTTTGAGTTGGTGTACCTCGGCGACGCATTGATTGAAATGCATTGCATTTAAATCACCAAATCCAACTCATCCACTGGTCAAAGCATCTATTATGTATTCCATGTGTGATTCTGCGTGCCATGCCAAAAACACCTCCTTCACTATCAAATGTGGGGCTGACCCCACAGGATAGCTCTGAACAGTCTTTTAAGCAATGGTTGACAGTGTCATCTTGTTAGATTCCGGGTATGCCACTGACCATTGCAAGAGAGCTGCTAATGACACATCTGCTTCTTCGGCCACGGGCAAAAGCACCACTGACACACTTGAGGTCTGCATGCGGCCCTTCTTCTCAGTGACCGGAATACGCTGAACCCGATGAACTCCAGACTCGTGTCGCAACCATCCAAAGGGAGCGTTCTCCTGCCAGCTCGGGGAAGAGCCAATGTGAGCTAATCACAGGACCGTGGTGTTTGAAGCTGCAAAAACCGACAAAAATCCATGTTACATAGGTTCTTAAATGTTTTCGACGTTGGCACCATGGTCACGTTTCGAGAATAACACTGGTTTTGACAATGTTTTGTTTTGTCCTCACTGGAGGAATCGTTCTTCAAAAGGTTTTGACCAATCTTCCAAATACAATATATAGACACTACATCGGATACACTTTGCTCTTTATCGGAGCAGAAACTTTGCATGCCTTTAGCATCCTTTAGCTATATAGACTTGCATCATGGCCAGCTAGAATCACTACAACAAATTTTACCCACCAAGGCACTAGGCCCTGGTCTCTCCTCATGACTGCCGGAAATTCGCACCTTTGGCAAGTTGTGGCAAGAAAAAGAACAACAGCGCACAACAAATAAGCCTCAAACGAATTGACTAGCTAACGCCGAACAAAATCACCGAATCTCAATGCATCTCTATATATCTCTATCGGAGTCGGGGTCTAGGGGGTTCGGAGCTGGACTTTTTTTGCACTTCATACTCTTGCTTTGAGACTCTGAGACTCAATCAATTTCAAGGATATGACTCGACAGCGTTCTCGAACAGGTTGGATTGGAAGAAGGATGGAAAAATACGAAAAAGGGTACATACCAAGCCCTTTCAACATGTGCTGGAGGCGTTTGAAAGCAGTTATATAGTTTTATAGTTTTATGGATGAAGGTGTTGAATTAGCATTGTAAAGCAAGGTGTCACCAATGGCGGTGTGTTTTCTTGCAGTTCCTCTGTGGGTGGCATGCAATAATAGGTTGCTGCTAGTGCTTAAAGCAAACTGAGCAGGATGAGAAATCAACCAGCTCATGACGACCATAACACGGGCCATTCTTTTTTGAATAGCTCTGATATGCAAACAATTGCAAATATACATACACATGACAAAGGACATGTCATAGAAAGGAGGACACACAGTGAACCACACTCTGCCTCTAGACTCTATACAATTTGAGCACTTGTGTTTTGTTTCAGAGATGCAGTTTCTCTTGATTTGCACCGTTTGAGATTGAGTTTGGAAGATGCTGTATTGAAGGTGAAGTTTTTGTTAACATGTTCTTATCAAATGGATGTATAAGTTCAGAAGCCCACAAAACACAAGAAACTTTGCAAAATGAGTTGAACAAGAACACATAACAGGTAACAACCCTCCCCACTTCTCCAGAATCCCCCTTCTTATGTTTTTTCCCCCACCCACCCCCACCCCCACACAAACACACACACACACACACAAGAACATGAACCGTTTTCAAAAGTTGAACGCAACACGAACCGAAAAAAACACAATAAGAACATTAATCAGCTGATATGGAAAAAAACAGAATCGACATGAAGGCTGCAAACTGCAAACAAGTATATACCCGATACCATGCAACATGTATTGAACACAGGGGCCGGCTGAGCCTCCGCTAGCAGTTAGCAAAAACATGCCGATGTTAGCATAGCTTGCTGCTGTCGGTTAAATCTCTGAGTCTGGTGACAATTTGCAAACCGCTGGCTGTTTGCCCTTCTGGCGAATAAGTAAAACGCATCCCCGTCACTCAACGCTGAAGGATCTCTGTGCGCTTCCGCCAAGGAACTGAAGCAAAATTCACTGCTCCCTCAGGCTGTCCTTCCGTCATGGACTCCACCTACCAAAAGATCGAACGAGGCATATTCAGATTTGCTATGAAACCTGAGCACCCTTCGATAGCAAGGCACCTGAATTCTAGCAACTGCTGGGTTGAGTCAAGCGTCAAAATTCTGACCCAAGCACCCACTTCAACAGCGCCTCAAATTGCCAGCCTCGAAGGTCTGCGAAGCGCTCATACCTCTGACTCGGCTGGACTATTGAAAGTTCAAAGTATATACCTCTTGAATGGGGACCCAATAAAAACCAACTGACCCACTTCAGGCTAAGAGAGGTACTCTGACCTTCGGAGCCTTGCAACCAGCATTGATGATGATAGATAATCGTTCTTGTGGGTGATGCCTGAGGATGAGTCTGAAGAACCAAAATCCTCAGGCATATCATTTTGCAATCCTCTGAGAACATGTGCTTTACATACGACCGTTCCAGATTTCTCCACATGTCTCCACTATCTTTTTCCAAGAACGACCTTCGGCAGCAAGGATTCCATGTTTCTCCAAGCATCCGGACATCTCCAGCAACTCCCCCGTGAAGAGGGCGGCTTCCTGCGGTGAGTCATAGGACCAGTGGGACTCAGCAAAGCACCAGACCACGGTGCAAAACAGGGGGCTCCTAGTAGCGCCCTTGCTCCTAGCAATCTAGGAGAAGCATCAGCATTCCAAATGATGCACCCCAACCATCCCCAAACAACAAAGTTATTCTGATATTCTAATCAGATCGGGTCTGACACGGCACTGACTTCTGGAATCTTCTGGAATCAGTTTTGGATCTCCTAACAACATGCCATCAAATGGTCAATCGGCCACTAGCAGGAATGCCGAGACGGAAACTCATAATGACATATAGTGACTACTTTGGCTGCACGTACCTGTGGCCATTCCTTTTCAGTATCTGTGGATCAACGCCAACTGTGTCACACGATGGTCGAACGTGAAACCAATTCTGGGCAGACCATGTTTATGGAGCATGAAAGGACCGCGAAGTCCTGGTGCGAATTCATCTCAAGACCTACACCGCGTCATGGGCAAACGATGTGAGGGTCGTCATCAACCACGTCATGCGCCCTGGAATCAGCTTTGCTTTTGCTCAAGTGAGCTATCAGTTTAGAGATAGAGGCGCTTTGCGCCCTCCCAGCGTGTAAGACCGGCCAATGCAAACAAACAATTACGGCCGGCAGAAAAACGTCATGATAATTCTCTCCCCCATGCTCCCAAAGGTGAGATCTTTCATTTTACTGTGCGTTCTGTTCAGAGGCCCGTTTGGGGCATGGAGAAATAGCACGGAGAGACTGATAGTAGTCATCTCCAATCAACGCCAACGAATCTAGGCAAACGCCTACTGGATGTTTCAGTCGAGTTCCGCAAAGACTTCTGAGCCCAAAGAAACAAAGAGTTTGTATCGCGTGTCACGAAAGTCTAGATCTTTGTTGTCACGAGGGCTCAAATCTCAGAGTCTGAAAGGCTAGGACTTACATGAGATCATGAGCTACTTGCTCCAACATGCGGCAAACGTGGCGGCAAGCAGAGTGCCTTTTCAAAAATACATATGGACGCGTGAGAATGAGAGATCTCAGTTTTGTTTGGGCCCAATCAACCTTACATTGACACGCAAGCATTGCCGTCACAGCATCACCATTTTTCACCAGGTGTTTCTACACACCATAGGAGCACCTTGGTTTGGAAACGAGGCTTGATTGTGTGGGGTGACCACGATTTGGCAAGCAGCGGACCTCAGGAAATCAATTTCAACATCTTGTGACTTGATGTGACTTGTGGACCTTGCCCATCTTTCTTTCGAGCTGACACCTTGACTCTTCCCATGTGGCATGATTTAGCAAAATCTTCACTTGTCGGCTTCATGCTATCTCTAGTGAAAATAATGTTGCTTTGTTTGGGCCATTGACCTTGCTTGTCAGCTTGTGTAGTTCTGCTTAACGATGATCTACAGTAGCCAATGGACATGGACAGCGAGCTTGGGGATCGACGGAAACCACGTTCTAGTCAACATGACATGAAAAAAACAAACTATCATAAGATATCATAAGGTGCACATGTCATCTCCACCCCCTCCGGGCATACTCCATCAGCAGTGCTATCTGGGAACTATACAAGCTTTGTGGGCAACGCAGCTGGCAGTTTGGGAGACAAATCTATGGCCAAGGTACACCCGAATGCTTGGACTCGGCACAGACGTGATCAACTCGAACATCTTTGCGTTCCCCTCTTGGCCTGTGCAAATGTTCAAAACATTTGGACCAATATGTACTCGAGGCACTGTCACTGTAAACACCGAGGGAAGTGTCGACTTGATTCATTTTGCACTGAAGCTGTCCAATGCCGCTTGATCAAACGTTCCAGTGGCTGGTTCAGGGATGGCTGAAGCAACTACGCCACATAATATATTTGATATACATATATGAAACCCCATGAATTCTCCACCTGTTAAGACTCTTGCATGTCTTTGACTGGGATCGTGGTTGGCCAAGTATGATGACGAAACGTGTTGCTCATGTGGGCCATTGTGGGCAATTTAACATTGCTAATGTTCACTGATCCTAACCTGTACTCCAGCAAATACATTGCTGACAAATCTATACAAATCTCAATGAAATAGGTCCCGTTAGAAATAGGGTCCCTATCTGGGTCCCAGAGGCAACTTGGTTTAGGGCAGTGCTCCACACGCCGCAGCCCGAGCACACGCCTTCCACCGCAACGATCCGATCCATCGGCTTGAAGGTGCCAACAGGCAGTTGTGCGGCAGCACCCCCAATGACCTCCTCGCAGCGGTTGGAGGCCATCGCTAGTAGGGTGGAGGCCATTACTACTAGTACTAGTGACAAAGGCTTTTGGGTTGGAGGCCATTGCTAGTAG